CAAAAAGCCCAAACCTTTGACGAAAAGGTCGACGAATTTCGGGGCCGACCCTTCGAGCGCGGACTGGAGCTCAAGAAACCCGCGGGAAATATCAATTTTGGAGTCTGTCACGAGGCTGCATAGCTCGCGAACCGATTGGTCGACGACGGCGGGGGAGGTGGAGTGGAGGCACTGCGAAATGGCTTCTCTTCCGGGTTCGGAGTCGGAGTCTACATACTTCGGGGCGGATCGGAGCTTCGAGAAGATTGAGATCACGGCGTATTTCTGGAGCGACGGTTGGGGAACCCGCGTCTTCTCCAGCAGTGGAGTGTACCAGTCCATTGAGAGAGAGAGAGGAGAGAGAGCGCGGGGAAGTGACCGTTTCAGGGAGGGGAATGCCTTAAGTTAAACGACGTCGCATGCAATTGGGCCCAAAGCACCCTCGCTTAACCCAAATTATCCGGGCCCATTTATAACGTCCAGGTCCACATAAACATTCGGGTTTGAAATATCCTGACCCGTTTATAAACCCGACAACGGACAGATGAACTCTCTTTCCCTTGGTAAATTTAGTGGCTCGTGAGACTCCATAGCCTGCAGTCGCAAGGATGAAGACGTCGATGACAGAGCTCGACGACGAAACGGTGCGCAGCATGGCCATTGGCGCCGTTTTCTCGGACTTCGTAAGCTCCCCTTCCCCCCTTTTTACATGCCTAATTCGTTCTTCGATCAGTTATCATAATCTTGAATTTTCTGCATAACCGGAAAAATTACTTGGGGGTGCTGATTTGGTTTAGATTAGGGTGTAATGTTGTGATTAATCTTTAATTAAAGGAAAACGTTGAAGAATTCAGGTTTTTTATTTTTTGTATTTTAATTCAAATTTTTTTTTTTTAAGTAAAGTCTAAAAGTATAGGTTTTGACAGAGAGTGTGTATCGATTTTCAGGGTGGGAAGATAAATTCGCTTGATTTTCATCGAAAGGACGATTTACTAGTTACTGCTAGCGAGGATGATTCAGTTCGACTCTATGACATTGCAACTGCTAAGTGAGTTAACTCTTACCAGATAGATGTTTATGTTGCAAGAAATCGATTATAGATGTACAAATATGTACATATATAATATATATGTATATGTATATATATGTATGTATGTACATATATAATAAATATGTATATGTATATGTATATGTATATGTATATGTATATGTATGTATGTATGTATATATGTATATAATATATATGTATATGTATGTATGTATGTGTGTGTGCGCGCGCACGCGCTAAGGAGAGTCCATGGAGTCCCTGCCGCCTCATAGTTTTGGCACAGTGTTCTATAATGTTGGCATGGGAATTGACATTAAACTGTGAGGTGGTAGAGGGTCCATGCAGAGTCCGACTTTTGAGAGTCTCCTTAGCATTGGATGAAGTTTGCATAGTATACCATGTTCCCTTATTTGAGCTATTGATGCTTTTGTTGTACGTTGGAATATTTGCTCAAGACAGTTTTATGTTGTTAAATTGGATCCTATTGTTGTTCATTGACGATTTATGTATTCGTTTGCTTGGAGTTGAATGTTGGTCTGCATGACTGGTTAATTGCTTTGCTGTGCTATACTGCTGTTATCAACGATATGTGGTATCTAAGCTTGTTCTATGCCATGTTTTGTTGTTGCGAGACTTCATTGGGATCTTAAACATTTGAGCATGTTTTTTGCTTATTCGGGCTTGGGTGTCCTCCTTTGTAGGGGACAATTAACCAGTAATTAAGTGCTTGTCTAGTTTCGAATTGATTCCTGTATCTGAAATTTAAGTTTTTATCATGAACTTCAGGTTGATAAAGACTACATTTCATAAGAAACATGGTGCAGATCGTATATGCTTTACCCATCACCCAAGTTCTGTTATATGCTCTTCAAAATACAATCTGGATACCACTGGAGGTCACTTTTTATAACTTTTCATTCATTATTTAACTCCTAATTTCTGGGGAATTACTTTCTTAATGATTCTGTCTGTTTCTCTACCAGAATCACTGCGGTATCTGTCAATGTATGATAATCGATGCCTTCGCTACTTCAAAGGACATAAAGAGAGGTTTGGATCCTTTGAACTTTTAGTACTTTAACAATAAGCATAAGGTTAATTTGGAATACTTGTCATCTGTTTATCATATAGAAATGCTTGTTATCTTTAATTGTCTATTTAAGGCACTAGGATCTGTACGTTTTACTGAATATCACGTCAGAAGATGACCGATTCAAAAGGAGACATCAAAAAGTAAATTTGGAAATACATTACATTACATTACATATGATATTACTTGCTTCTGTAGGATTGTCTCCCTCTGTATGTCTCCAGTGAATGATAGCTTCATGTCTGGTTCGTTGGACCACACCGTCAGAATATGGGATCTCCGTGTAAACGCCTGCCAAGTAGGTTTTTGGTTTCAATACATTACATGTAGGCTAAATTTGGAAAAGTATTCTAGATAACTTGAGACGCAGTTCTAAGACAACTTTGCAATTCATGCTTATAGGGAATTTTACATATGCGTGGTAGGCCTACAGTTGCCTATGACCAGCAAGGTCTTGTTTTTGCCGTGGCAATGGAAGGGGGTGCGATCAAATTGTTTGACTCACGCTCCTATGACAAGGTTATAACCTATGAAATACTGAATTTCTATTGCCACCATTATGACTTTTCATATCATGAATTTAACTAAAATTTTCCTAATTAGGGTCCATTTGACACCTTTTTAGTTGGTGGAGATACTGCTGAAGTTTGTGATATCAAATTTAGCAACGATGGCAAATCAATGCTATTGACAACCACAAACAACAATATCTATGTTCTTGATGCATATGGAGGGGAGAAGGTGCACTTTTGTGTTTAGATTGTCTTATACTTCCCATAGGCGTGTTACGATAATGATATGCATAACAGTTCAAAACTTTACCCTGTGCAGCGTTGTGGGTACAGCGTGGAACCCTCTCCGAATGTAATTATCGAGGCAACTTTTACCCCAGATGGCCAGTATGTGGTGTCAGGTATAGTATTTTTCCGCTGATGGTTACAATGTGGCATCTTATCCATGTCCCGGTTGTTAACTTTTCACTCAATGTCATAGGCTCTGGAGACGGAAATTTGCACGCCTGGAGCATCAACAACCGAAATGAGGTATCAATTTGTTTATAAATTTGCTCACGATGAAGGTTTTAGATGCTAGTTCACGAGAACTGTTAACTTATCTGTTTTATAGAATATGACCGTCAGACCATCCCTATTGCTCCCCCCTGCCTCTCTCGCACACCTCTTCTCTAAAGAACTATAGGGTGTTAGACTAAAAGCATTAAGCATTTCAATTGCTTATCTGATTGTGTCCTAATATCATCAGTACTACAGTACTACTACTACCCTTTCAGCCCTTTTAGTTGTTATCGACTTGCATAGTGTTTCGCAAGTATCTCAGAACTCATTTGGAACTTAGCTTTTAAAATGGCTTAAAGCGTTTTTTTTGTGTAAATTTTTTTAGAACCAATCTTTAATAAAAATGCAAGTGATGGAAAAACACTTGAAGTGTTTTCTACAAAAATCACATAACTCCTACTTCTTGCAGGAAGCACTTTAAATGCTTGTGGAACCCAAAAACATTTTCTTTAAAAGCGTTTTAGTTATTTTATAAACACTTTCAAACGAACCTTCAAATTGCATAGCATTTCGCGATTTATTCCCGAAACCCACCAGTATTTTAGCTGCCTGAATTTCTAAAAAACACCATACGTGATGAAACCATATGAGAGGAGTCGGTTTAAATCGAACAATTGTGAGATAAAAGTTATCGAATATTGACTCTTATCAATTGGTATTTCTCCAGGTGGCATGCTGGGACAGTCACATCGGAGTTCCGTCATGCTTGAAGTGGGCTCCTCGCAGAGCCATGTTTGCCGCTGCATCGAGCGTTCTCACGTTTTGGATACCTAATGAAGCAAACGAGCCTACTCACATGGAGACCGAAGCTGGTGCTGCCGATCCCGAGCATCCTTCTCAGTGAGAACCCCTTGGTTTGCCATATCACCGGAACCGATCCGATAACTTATCAAATTTTGTATTGTTTTGTAGGATAAGGGTATAGTCTAGCATGTTGTAATGGGTTTAAATTTTAATGTGACATTAGTACATTACCAATAAAACTTCTTAATTGTGGTTTCTTGCTCGGAAAATTTTTAGTTGTGACGGGAACACGGATGATACATCACGTGTTTTATGCAAGTGGTGGAAAATATTAACCTTTAAACACATATAACCCACCATTTATATCGGAAAATTTTTAGTTGTGACGGGAACACGGATGATACATCACGTGTTTTATGCAAGTGGTGGAAAATATTAACCTTTAAACACATATAACCCACCATTTATATAGAGACACATGGTGTACTGAAAAATCTCTCTTGTGATTGAATGGAGCCCTTGTAACCGAAAAGTCAAGAAAAGTCACCTTTTTGCAAAGAGGGTGCGTACTATTGGTGTTTTCCACCGTCACAAACGACGTATTATGGATGTTTCCCCGACAGTCGCAACCTTTTTTGTGTGAAAAGTTACGCATTCGAATCCTAAAACCTCTATGAAAGCGGCTACTCCTTTGTAATCTTTCAAGTTCGAGTCTGTATAATAATGTTCTCCCGACCGCCACAAAACGGAAACTTGTTGGGTTGAAGTTGCCATTTAATTGTGATTTCAGATGAATTATTGGAGAGATTTTTCAATGTGATCGTCACACGAGACGGTATACGACGGTATATCACGTGTTCTTGTATAAATGATAGAATATGTGTGTTAAAGAATTAATAACTTAAAAATTAAAATTTTCTACTACTTACATAAAATTCCTATCACAACTAAAAATTTCTCAGAGTTATTGATTCTCTTTATTTATATGGTGTGAAATCCTTTTAGCTCGGAAATCGGGTTGATCCATCGTCGTGATACCGGAAATTAGGGAGAGAGAGAGAGAGACTTTACACAAATGGATAATTGCAATAGATTGAAGACCATACGATAAACAACTGCAATGTAAACTCGCACACAAAAGCAAGAACTGCCAGTCTACAGTTACCCAGCTACGTACATCAAACTACAGAAAAAACCACACATAGAGGTTTTACAACATTATTTCCCCTTCCATTTTCGTACACAAACAACGTCGTTCGTAAGAGTCGAAAACCTCTTCAAATCTTGCATTCCCTTCCCTTCAACGACTTTCAGTATGTCCGGATTGCCTCTTTGTTTCATGGGACTTACTCTGGATGTCCTGGCCAACCTCCTTGGTCTTCTGCCCCACGTACTCCCCCATTTCCGCAGCGCGCCTCTTCGCCTCGTCCAGGGCCTCAGGCACCACCGATGACCTCCTGAGGTAGTTGGCGATCCACGACAGCGACGACAGCCCGGTCAGCCCGAAAGCCCCGGAGGTCAGAAATCCGGTGACAGCAAGCCCGATGACGAAGAGAGCAGGGACAAGAACCGGGCTGAAGATGATGAAGAGCGGGGTGGCAAGGAGAGCACCAATGATGGTCCCCATGAAAGTGAGACCAGCAAGCCCCAGTAGGGTTCCACCGACTGGAAGGCCGGTTATCACTGCAATAACTTGCCCGGTCGAGGGGCCATCGCTTTGTTGTTGCCCCTTTATGCCTCCAAAGCGGCCACCATGTTCACCGTACTCGTGCTCGCCGTAGCGCGGCTGGGCGGGGCGAACTTGGATATGGTGTGGCTGAGGACGGTCTGCCATTGATGAAGATAGTTTGAGAGAGAGAGAGTTTTAGAGTGAGATCGAGCTCGGAGAATTGTTGTGGAAGGATAGAGATGGAGGAAGAGGAGGTGGCGAGATGGTGGTTTTATAGGAGGAGGAGGCGGTGACACGTAAGGTGTGAGGGTGAGTTGGGGCTTTGCATGTGGAACAAGTTTCAGTGCAAGTTTTGGGAAATTAGAAAAACCAAAAATATATATTTACTGAGAAAAAAATTAATTCGAAACGTTAAGATGACACTCTGGGAATATTTGTTGCCACAATCAGTGTTTCGAGAATACGACTGAGTACATTAAGAATCATAATATAAGTAGTTAGACATTTGAAATAAAAAAATTTCAACTATTATGTTGTTATACTTAATATACTAAATTGTGTTTTCAGTACATTAACAAATTTCTCAATGACGTTCGGTTCTGCCACTTTGTTTTGTTGCCTTGCCTGCTGTTTTATGAACGGGCGTTACTCTCTGGAGTTTGTCTGTGCTTTTGCTATGTGCACCGAATTGTTTTTTATTTTTACCTTATTTTTTGAATGGAGAAATGCAAAATCAATTTCATGTTTTCCACTGATAAATTTCCAACAAAAAATAATTCAACTCATAAGAAAAGAAATGCGAATCTAAATCTAATGTTGACATGCAAAAAAAAAATACAAAAAATTCACATGGAACTGCTTTAAGTAGAGCATAAAATACATATAAATTAACTCGTCTATATATCAGTTATTCTCTAATTAATTTTGTCTTCCTGTTCGTTCGGAAATGAGAGCCAGTAGAGTAATAGTTAGATTAAACACATTGTAGACATCGAAATTTCGGTAAATAAATGTTGATCGATAAATCAAAATTTCAACGCTCATGTATTACATAAATTTTACACGTAACGTGTGACTCGACGAAAAATTGAAATGAGTTGAAAAAAGTCATCAAACAGGACACGTGTCAACACCTGGCAGAAACGACTTATTTCATCGGGAATATTATATTCAAAATTAGGCCTTGGAAATTTCTATAAATATAAGGCTAATTCATTCATTTGGGAAGAACCAAAAAATCATTAAGCAAGCTCTGAAGCTCTGAAACTCCTAAGCTCTCAAGCATCCAGGTTCCCGAAGAATCAAGAAAGCTCTCTTCGTTCTTCGTTTTTCGTTCATCGTTCATCCTAAGATCAAGCCCAAACGGCCCTTTGGATCAACAATCATCCATCAATTCAAGATCAAGCCCCGACGGCCCTTGAAGAAAGTGTTCTTCGTTCTTCGTTCATCGTTCATCGTTCTTCCAAGATCAAACCCCGACGACCCTTGGATCAACAATCATCCACCAATTCAAGATCAAGCCCCGACGGCCCTTGAAGAAAGTGTTATTCGTTCTTCGTTCTTCGTTCTTCGTTCTTCCAAGATCAAGCCCCAACGGCCCTTTGGATCAACAATCATCCACCAATTCAAGATCAGGCCCCGACGACCCTTGAAGAAAGTGTTCTTCGTTCTTCATTCATAGTTCTTCCAAGATCAAACCCCGACGGCCCTTGGATCAATAAGCCACCGTTCTTCAAGATCAAGCCCAAAAACCCCTTGAAGATCCGTTCATTAATGTTCTTCAAGATCAAGCCCAAAAGCCCTTGAAGATCCGTTCATCACTGTTCTTCAAGATCAAGCCCAAAAGCCCCTTGAAGATCCGCTCATACCGTTATTCAAGATCAAGCCTCAACGGCCCTTGAAGAAACACTCATCCTCAAGATCAAGCCTCAACGGCTCCTTGAAGATTCGCTCAAATCCACCTTCAAAGATCAAGCCCACGGCCTTTGAAGAAACTTCCAACAGTTCATCCAAAATCAAGCCTCGACGGCCCTTGGATCAACGAAACATCCACAAATCAACACCTTACGAAGATCGAATCAGAGGATCAAAATAGAGAGAGATTGTAACCTAAAATCATCAAATACAAATATTTGTTTGTGCACGTTGTTCTTGTCTCTTTCGTTTCAGGAAAATTTCGTGTTCACACACATCTTTCAATGGTTGATAATTCTTTGATTGTCATGTTATCAAAAGCTTATATGTTAAAAGCAGAAAAGAAAAAAAAACACACACACATCTTTCAATTCAATTTTAATTTAACTCATGTGGCATTCAATTACGCATTCGTGGATCCTATGTACTTTGCCATGTAACTACTTTAACAAAAAAAAATTGCTGAGTAAATACGAAAGACAATATTTTTCCATTTTGATATTTTACACGGCATGTTATAATTTGATTTTTAGAGTTGACAAATTACACGATGGTAAAAGTAAAAATATCTTTGACACTCATTCTTGTTTCCAAACAAATATATTGTTATGGCGAAGCCATAACTTACCATTTTTTAAGAAAAAAAAAAGAACCAACCTAAGTCACATATAATAAAAATACTTGTAATAATATTAGGAATAATATTCGAGAATTAAAAAAGAAAATCCTTTTAAAACATTATTTTGTTTTGTTAAGAGAGATTATATTCACACACCCCAATTACTTCTCTCACAACTTTTTAATTTTTTAATATTTTCTACACACCACTAACAATTGATAGAAAAATATTAAAAAATTAAAAGGGTGTAGGAGAAGTAATTTGGGGTGTGTGAATATAATTTCCCTTTGTTAATTGGAATCTGGGATGGACATGGATCCTCTTCGGATTCAATTGTCCTGATCCTAGGGATCAATGCATTTGGACCATTGAAATTTAATCCAACGGCTACAAACAAGGACTACTTTAAAAGTTATAATAACTTTAACAGTTAGATCAAATTTTAATGGTCCAGATTCATTGATCCTAGGACAATTGCATCCGGAGGGATCCTATCCGGATCCATGTCCATCTGGGAAATCCGCAGGAACCTAACGGCGTTAGAATCCAAGTGGAGGTTTCCCTTTCGATTCGAAGGACGAAGATGAACGACCCGAACATCAACGTACATAAATTCAAATCACCAAATACAAAGCAAATCGTACCAAAATTTGATCAACCCATCATCCCCAAATGGCTGGATTAGAAGAACTTAGAAAAAAGCTCACTCCTTTGTTCGACGCCGAAAAGGGCTTCTCCGCCGGAGGCCCTTCCTTGGAGCTCGACCCTTGCGATTCCTACACTGTAAGCACTTTTGCTTTTTTCTGCAATCCGAATGATCAAAGTTTGAATTTTGAATTTTGGGTTTCTGGAAATTGTGGAAATTTGATTCTGGGTTTTGTGGTGAAGCTATCGGACAGTGGAACGGTGAACTTGCTGAGCAGATCGTACGGCGTGTACAACATCAACGAACTCGGATTGCAGAAATGCACGACCTTGGCGGTGGACGACAGCGCCGAGAAGACCTACCGGTGCGCCTCGCGGGAGATGAGGGTGTTTGGGGCAATCGGCAGCGGCGCCAGCAGTGTTGTGCAGAGAGCTATCCACATTCCCACTCATCGGATTCTAGCTCTCAAGAAGATCAACATTTTCGAGAAGGTATCATTTTCCGCCTTTTCGGATAAATTCTGTTTATGTTTTGTACAGTAGAAATTGGGATTATGTTATTGATTAGTTGTAAGTATTTTGATTTTCCCTGTGTAAATTCCAAATTTAGGAGCTTTATGCTAGTGATTAGTGATCCAAATACAAATGGTGCGAAAACCCCAGCAAATTTTGAGTGTGGAAATTGAATTAGAGTGTTGTTTGTTGCATGATAGGAGAAAAGGCAACAGCTGCTTACTGAGATACGAACACTATGCGAAGCACCTTGTTACCAAGGTCTTGTAGAATTTCACGGCGCATTTTATACGCCGGATTCTGGACAAATAAGCATAGCTTTGGAGTATATGGATGGAGGATCGTTGGCGGATGTCCTAAGATTGCAGAAAAGAATACCTGAACCCCTACTTTCTTCTATGTTTCAAAAGCTTCTACATGTAAGCATATGCGCACTCGGTTTCAGCTAGATTTTTGTACATTTGCATGGTGTTTAAGCTTCTTATTATCATGTTTTCAATGTGGAAGGGACTGAGCTACTTGCACGGAGTTAGGCATCTAGTCCACAGAGACATAAAGCCCGCCAATTTGCTTGTGAATCTCAAGGGTGAGCCAAAAATAACAGATTTTGGTATAAGTGCTGGCTTAGAGAATTCAATGGCAATGGTTCGTGATACTTGTTGCATCTTTGTACTTTGGTTTAAAGTTGCATTTGACGCATAGATGTTAAAAGTGGTATTTCGGTGTTAACAAATCTAACAATGTAATGACCAGTGTGCGACATTTGTTGGGACGGTCACATACATGTCACCTGAGCGAATTCGAAATGAGAATTATTCTTATCCAGCTGATATTTGGAGCCTTGGTCTTGCTCTCTTTGAGTGTGGTACTGGAGAATTCCCGTATACAGCTACTGAAGGACCTGTCAATCTTATGCTGCAGGTGACGTGATTATATTTGTCAATCTTATGCTGCATTCATATGCTTTCCATTGCCTACATTCACCGTTGTTTTGATACTAAAGTTCTGAGATCTATGGCAGATCTTGGATGATCCATCACCTACACCTTCAAAACACAAATTTTCACCAGAGTTTTGCTCGTTTATTGAAGCCTGCTTGCAAAAGGATCCAGATGCTAGGCCAACAGCAGAGCAGGTGATCATATTAACTACAGATTTCAATCTGGGAGATGGTAGCTTGACATCAACATTGTTTAACTAGTATTCTTCTTCTGCAGCTACTTTCACACCCCTTCATCACAAAGTACGAGGATTCCCAAGTTGACTTAGCAGCATTTGTCCGAAGCGTATTTGATCCAACACAAAGGATGAAGGACTTGGCAGATGTGAGTACTTGACACTTGCATTATCGTTAGACCAACAGAAGTACATAAAACCGCTTAAAAATGCTAAGTCTAAATCTAATCTCTAATTTTTGAGTCAAATATGTGACAGTTCACGTTATTCAATTCTTTTTTTTTTTTTTGGTCCTCGAGATATTTAATTTATATGCAAAGTCAGTTTAGAATTTGTAATGGCTTGGAACCTACCACTAATCATGCTTGTGAT